CCCAGCTCCCTCAACTCCTCCAAACCCTCTCTCAGGACTCTCCAAACCCTTCCCTGGTTCTCTCAGGATTTTCCAAACCCTTCCCAGCTCCCTCAGGACTCTCCAGACCCTTCCCAGCTCCCTCAGGATTTCTCCAAACCCTTCCCCAACTCCTTCAGGACCCTCCAAACCCTTCCCAGTTCCCTCAGGACTCTCCAAACCCTTTCCAGATTTCTCCATTCCCTTCCCAGCTCCCTCAGGAATCTCCAGATCATTCCCAGCTCCCTCAGGACTCTCTCAACCCTTCCCAGCTCCTTCAGGATTCTCCAAACCCTTCCCAGATTTCTCCAGACCCTTACCCAGCTCCCTCAGCTCCAAATCCTCCCTCAGGATTCTCCAAATCCTTCAGGATTCGCCAAACTCTTTAGGATTCGCCAAACCCTTTCCAGCTCCCTCAGGGTTTCTCCATTCCCTTTCCCAGCTCCCTCAGGACTTTCCAAACCCTTTCCAGCTGCCTCAGGACTCTTCAAACTCTTCCCTGGTTCTCTCAGGACTCTCCAAACCCTTCCCAGCTCCCTCAGGACTCTCCAAACCCTTCCCAGATTTCTCCATTTCCTTCCCAGCTCCCTCAGGATTCTCCAGATCATTCCCAGATCCCTCAGGACTCTCAATTCCCTTTCCCAGCCCACTCAGGACCCTCCAAACCCTGCCCAGCTCCCTCAGGACTCTCCAAACCCTTCCCAGCTCCCTCAGGACTCTCAATTCCCTTTCCCAGCCCACTCAGGACTCTCCAAACCCTTCCCAGCTCCCTCAGCTCCTCCAAATCCTCCCTCAGGATTCTCCAAACCCTTCCCAGCCCCCTTAGTACTCTCCAAATCTTTCCCAGCTCCCTGAGGATTTCTCCCAACCCTGCCCAGCTCCCTCAGGACTCTCCAAACCCTTCCCAGATTTCTCCAAACTCTTTCCCAGCTTCCTCAGGATTCTCAATTTCCATTCCTTTCCCAGCCCCTCAAACTTGGGGCCCACAGCCCTCGAGCTGTGACCCCAGCACAGCCCAAGCCACACCTGGCCGTGCTTTTTGCCAGTCCCACTCTGCTCCTTTCGTATAAAAACAACCAGCAGCTCCAGACTGAGGTGATAACTCAAAAATCCTTAATCTGTGAGGCTTTCCCAGAGCCTGAGAGCTGCCCTTGGATGGCAGCCCTGCTGATTCCCTGGATTCCAGCCAGGGAACAGCCCAGGGAAGCTGGTGCTGTCTGTGATCCCTGCTATTTTCCCTTGCTTCTCCAGCAGAAAAGAAAGCAAACCCTGAGCTGCGCCTGCCAAGGCTTTGTGGGCAAGACAAAGCAGGAAAAGGAGAGAGGAAGCAGCAGGAAAATAAACATTTCCTTGCATTTTTGCTGGAATCTCTGCAGTGAGGCCTGTGCTGCGCCTGCTCCCATCCCAAAGCTGGGGTTCCCTTACCTGGGCAGGGCTTGGGGTACATCCTGTGGAAAAACACCAGCAGGGCGTAGAAGGTGAAGGCCAAGCACCCAAAGATCATCCCACACACCAGGAAACTGTAGCTGCCCCGATCATGGATAATCTGCAGCGGGATGGGAAATTAAAAAAGGGATCAGACATCGCTCAGATCCCTCGTGGATCATCAGGGAGGGCTCTGCTGGCTGGTAACTGCTCAGTTAGAGCAAAACTGAGGGTTTGACTCGTAAATTCCAAATTGGTTTTGGGTTTTGCCAGCTCCTGGCTACTCACCGAGCCCACCAGCAGCTGCAGCACCATCTCTCCGATGCCAGCTCCAGTCACCAGCACCGTGGTGGCACAACCTGCGAGGAAACAGAGGTGGTGGCAGCAGAGTGGCACAGCCAGCAGGGCCACCCTGGGCTCCCTTAAAGCTTTCCTGTGCATCTCACCACACAAAAATCAAAAATACTCAATGTGCATTCCTACTTAACGCTGCAAAATTCCTCAGCAAACCTGCAGCAGTGCAGAAAGATGAAAGTTGAAGTAAAAAAAAATTCAATCTCCTGTCAGCTGTCTGTGCTGGCAGAGCTGGTGGTGGGAAGGTTTTTGTGTTTCTGTCTCACTGCCCTCGAGACAGAGCTGCCAGGGAGCTCCTGGGGGAGCTGGCTCTGTGCAGCCATGATATTTTCTGAAAAACCCCTTTTTGCNGAATTATAGGATTTAATATCCCTCCCACCCCAAACCATCCCACAACTCTTCAAACGCCAAAACCAATTTAATTTTTTTTGTTTTTAACCCTGTTAAATTTTAAATTTATGACTTTAAAACCTGAGAACTGGAGGTGTTGGGAAGTGAGTCCAGCCAGCGAGCAATTAGCAATCAATCAATCAATCAATCAATCACCTTTAATTAAACACTGCTTTATATACACACGTACATATGTACATCACAATCAGCAGTTCAAGCGAGGAGTTGCAGCCACAGCCACTCCTGTTGGACATTCCCAAAAATTCCCAAAAATTCCCAAAAATTCCAGTCCTTTGGGACAGGCCATGCTGGGGCTGTGCGAGTACCTTACACAAGGCACCTGGAGGAGAAGGAGCAGATTGCACAGGTGAAGCAGCTGGAGCCAACTCCCCCCAAAAAAATAAAATAAAATAAAATAAAAATTCAAAATAAATCCCTTCTCTCGTGGAGCTTGGCTTGGAAGTTGGAAATAAAACCGATATTAAAAGAAGACACTGGAGCAGCTCGAGGAGTGACTTAAAGCAAAAGGAACCAGCACAGCTCATTGTTGACTTAAATAAAAACAAAGAAAGCCCTTCCAAAAAAGAAAAACAAAATTAAAAAAGCAAATGATTGCTTAAAATCATTGAAGAGGCCTGAGCATGCTGAGTAAGACACTGTTTAGAGTGTGGAATATACAGAATTAAGTGTGCAAATAGAGACAGGCCCTGCTGCCTGTGTGTGCACCTGGGGGCTCTGCACTGTGGGACTTCCCCCCTTTGCAAAGATCGAGGGAGGTGACACAAAATTTATCACAAAAATGAATAAAAACCCAGGATTGTGCTGCAAATTCGAGGGGGTTCCTGTGCACCACAGGCCAGAAATAAAATCTATTCAAGATTCAGTCTTGGACGAGGAGCAGAGAGCAGCTTTTCCTTTTCACCCTGTGTTCTGAGCAGGTAAAAAAAGTTGATTTGCAGGAGAAAAAAAACCCTTCATTTGCAGGAGAAAAAAAACTTCATTTGCAGGAGAAAATAAACTTCATTTGCAGGAGAAAATAAACTTCATTTGCAGGAGGAACTGCTGTGCAAATGTCCATGCTTTTAGTCTCAGGATCAGGCTGGCAGGATTTTTGGCACAACCCCCGTGCTCAGCTCGACATTTTGGGCTTGATTTCTTCCATTCTGCCTTACCCCACCTACTGTGCTTTTGATTGCAGAGAACTTGCATGATTCAGTTCATTAAATGTGAAATCACCCTCGGGATTAATGTTTAATTGGGGCTGGGTTTATTGCTTGTGCCGGGCCGGGCCCGCCCTCAGCGCTGGTACTGCCCCGTGTCCTCAGGCACTGCGGCTTTCTCCGGGGAGGCCTCGTCCAGCTCTGCCAAAGATTAAATCGGTATTTCACCTCAATGGGTGCATTGATTGAGATTAAAGGGGATGGGTGTGAGGTTTTTCCCTCAGGAATGTTGTTATTTTATCACCCCACCGTGTCCAGGCCTTCCCTNGATTTTTTTCCCCTATTTCTCCAAAATGGAGATTGGAATTGCCAAAGCCAAGAACTGCAATGGTGGATTTTAATTGAGATGAAATTGAGCTCCATTTTACCAACAGAACTCAATTTTAATTTTAATTTTACCAAACTGAACTTAATTTTAATTCTAAACTCAATTTAAATTTCATTTTTAAACTCAAGAACTGTGATGGTGGATTTTAATTGAGAAGAAAATTGAGCTTTGTTTTACCAAACAGAACTCAATTTTAATTTTAATTTTACCAAACAGAACTTAATTCTAAACTCAAATTTAATTTTAAAACTCAATTTTTAATTGAGAAGAAATTGAACTCTGTTTTACCAAACTCATTTGAATTTTAATTTTACCAATCACAACTTAATTTTAATTCTTGGAATTCCCAAGCCCAAGAATTGTGATGGTGAACTTTAATTAAGAAGAAATTGAATTCTGTTTTACCAAACAGAACTCAAATTTAATTTTACCAAACAGAATTTTAATTACTCAAGTTCCCAAGCCCAAGAATTGTGATGGTGAATTTTTAATTAAGAAGAAATTGAACTGTGTTTCACCAAAGAAATACCAAGCAGAATTTTAATTACCAAGCCCGAGAAGAGTGATGGTGAATTTTAATTAAGAAGAATTTTAATTCTTGGAATTATCAAGCCCAAGAACTGTGATGGTGGATTTTAATTAAGAAGAAATTGAATTCTATTTTACCAAACTCATTTTAATTTTAATTTTACCAAACGGAACCTAATTTTAATTACCAAGCCCAAGAAGTGTGATGGTGAATTTTAATTAAGAAGAATTTTAATTCTTGGAATTATCAAGCCCAAGAAGTGTGATGGTGAATTTTTAATTAAGAAGAAATTGAACTGTGTTTCACCAAAGAAATCTCATTTTAATTTTACCAAACAGAACTTAATTTTAATTCTTGGAATTAATCAAACTCAGGAACTGTGATGGTGAATTTTAATTAAGAAGAATTTTNATTCTCCTCCCTTCCCTCATCCTGGGACCCCTGTGAACACCACGACAGCTCTGGGCTTTCCAGCTTGGGTAATTTGGTGATATTTCCAGAACCAGTTCAGGTTATTTGGTGATATTTCCAGAACCAGCTCAGGTGACCTGAGGATGTTTCCAGAACCAGCTCTGGTTATTTGCTGATCTTTCCAGAACCAGCTCAGGTAATTGGTGATATTTTCAGAACCATCTCAGGTAATTTGGTGATGTTTCCAGAACCAGCTCAGGTGACCTGAGGATGTTTCCAGAACCAGCTCAGGTAATTTGGTGATGTTTCAGGTAATTTGGTGATATTTGCAGAACCAGCTCAGGTAATTTGGTGATATTTCCAGAACCATCTCAGGTTATTTGATGATGTTTCCAGAACCATCTCAGGTAATTTGGTGATCTTTCCAGAACCAGTTCAGGTGACCTGAGGATGTTTCCAGAACCATCTCACGTAATTGGTGATGTTTCCAGAACCAGCTCAGATTATTTGTTGATATTTCCAGAACCATCTCAGGTAATTTGCTGATGTTTCCAGAACCAGTTCAGGTAATCTGTTGATGTTTCCAGAACCAGCTCAGGTGACCTGGGGATATTTCCAGAACCAGCTCTGGTGATTTGGTGATATTTCCAGAACCATCTCAGGTAATTTGCTGATATTTCCAGAACCAGCTCAGGTAATTTGGTGATATTTCCAGAACCATCTCAGGTAATTTGCTGATGTTTCCAGAACCAGCTCAGGTAATTTGCTGATGTTTCCAGAACCAGCTCAGGTAATTTGGTGATGTTTCAGGTAATTTGGTGATGTTTCCAGAACCAGTTTGGGTAATTTGCTGATATTTCCAGAACCAGCTCAGATGATTTGTTGATATTTCCAGAACCAGCTCAGGTGACCTGGGGATGTTTCCAGAACCAGCTCAGGTGACCTGGTGATGTTTCTAGAACCATCTCAGGTAATTTGCTGACGTTTCCAGAACCAGCTCAGGTGACCTGGTGATGTTTCCAGAACCATCTCCCTTCCTGCCCCTCCCTGAGCTCCCCAAACCAGGAATTGAAACTGGATCCCTGCCTGGGCTCTTTATTCCTCAGCAAAAAACAGAGAATTTTGGACACTTCCCTCCAACAGCAAACCTGAGCTTCCAGGCCTGCCGAGGAAGAGCCGAACCAAGGGGATGGGGCTGTAAAACCACTGCAGGTGAGCTGACCTTGGTACTGCAGGATGTCCTCGGTGTAGGCCAGCAGGCTGGGGAAGGCGCTGCTGAGGAACAGCCCCAGCGAGGCCGTGCCCACGAACAGGAAAACCACGCTGGACCAGAAGAGCAGCAGCAGCAGGAAGGTGACGAGAACCCCGACCTGCGGAGCAGCACCCGCAAAAACCCGTCAGAAAAACGCTGAGGGCAACGGGGTCTGGGGTTGGGGTTAATAGGAAATAGTCCGGAAGGGAAAATACGTTTATTGTTAAGGGGAAATAGTCTGGAAGAGGAAATAGTCTGGAAGAGGAAATACATTTATTTTTAAGGGGAAATAGTCTGGAAGAGAAAATATGTTAAAGGGGAAATATTCTGGAAGAGGAAATATGTTTATGTTTAAGGGGAAATAGTCTGGAAGAGAAAATATGTTTAAGGGGAAATAGTCTGGAGGAGAAAATACGTTTATCTTTAAGGGGAAATAGTCTGGAAGGGAAAATACGTTTGTTTTTAAGGGGAAATAGTCTGGAAGAGGAAATACATTTATTTTTAAGGGGATATAGTCTGGAAGAGAAAATGTGTTTATTTTTAAGAGGAAATATTCTGGAAGAGGAAATACATTTATTTTTAAGGGGAAATATTCTGGAAGAGGAAATATGTTTAAGGGGAAATAGTCTGGAAGAGGAAATAGTCTGGAATAGGAAATATGTTTATTTTTAAGAGGAAATAGTCTGGAAGAGAAAATACGTTTAAGGGGAAATATTCTGGAAGAGAAAATATGTTTATTTTTAAGGGGATATAGTCTGGAGGATAAAATATGTTTATCTTTAAGGGGAAATAGTCTGGAAGAGAAAATACATTTATTTTTAAGGGGAAATAGTCTGGAAGAGGAAATATTTTTTTTTTTAAGGGGAAATATTCTGGAGGAGAAAATATATTTATTTATAAAGGGAAATAGTCTGGAAGGGAAAATATATTTGTTTTTAAGGGGAAATAGTCTGGAAGAGAAAATATGTTTATTTATAAAGGGAAATATTCTGGAAGAGGAAATATGTTTATTTTTAAGGGGAAATATTCTGAAAGAGGAAATACATTTATTTTTAAGGGGAAATAGTCTGGAAGAGGAAATATGTTTAAGGGAAAATAGTCTGGAAGAGAAAATATGTTTATTGTTAAGGGGATATAGTCTGGAAGGGAAAATATGTTTAAGGGGAAATAGTCTGGAAGAGGAAATATGTTTATTTATAAAGGGAAATATTCTGGAAGAGGAAATATCTTTAAGGGGAAATAGTCTGGAAGGGAAAATACCTTTATTTATAAAGGGAAATATTCTGGAAGAGGAAATACGTTTATTTTTAAGGGGAAATAGTCTGGAAGAGGAAATTTGTTTGTTTTTAAGGGGAAATATTGTGGAAGAGGAAATACGTTTATTTTTAAGGGGAAATAGTCTGGAAGAGAAAATACGTTTATTGTTAAGGGGAAATAGTCTGGAAGAGGAAATACATTTATTGTTAAGGGGAAATAGTCTGGAAGAGAAAATATGTTTAAGGGGAAATATTCTGGAAGAGAAAATATGTTTGTTTTTAAGGGGAAATATTCTGGAAGAGAAAATATGTTAAAGGGGAAATATTCTGGAAGAGGAAATGTGTTTATTTATAAAGGGAAATAGTCTGGAGGATAAAATATGTTTGTTTTTAAGGGAAAATATTCTGGAAGAGGAAATATACGTTTATTTTTAAGGGGAAATAGTCTGGAAGAGAAAACACGTTTATTTTTAAGGGGAAATAGTCCGGAAGAGGAAATACATTTATTTATAAAGGGAAATATTCTGGAAGAGGAAATATGTTTAAGGGAAAATAGTCTGGAAAAGGAAATATATTTGTTTTTAAGGGGAAATAGTCTGGAAGGGAAAATACGTTTATTTTTAAGGGGAAATAGTCTGGAAGAGGAAATATTCTGGAAGAGGAAATACGTTTATTTATAAAGGGAAATATTCTGGAAGAGGAAATATGTTTATTGTTAAGGGGAAATAGTCTGGAAGAGGAAATACGTTTATTTTTAAGGGGAAATATTCTGGAAGAGGAAATATATTTAAGGGGAAATAGTCTGGAAGGGAAAATATGTTTAAGGGGAAATATTCTGAAAGAGAAAATATGTTTATTTATAAAGGGAAATATTCTGGAAGAGGAAATATGTTTATCTTTAAGGGGAAATAGTCTGGAAGGGAAAATATTCTGGAAGGGAAAATACGTTTATTTTTAAGGGGAAAATTCTGGAAGAGAAAATATGTTTATTTTTAAGGGGAAATAGACTGGAGGAGAAAATACGTTTATTTTTAAGGGGAAATAGTCTGGAAGAGAAAATATGTTTAAGGGGAAATATTCTGGAAGGGAAAATATGTTTATTGTTAAGGGGAAATATTCTGGAAGAGGAAATACGTTTATTTTTAAGGGGAAATATTCTGGAAGAGAAAATATGTTTATTTTTAAGGGGAAATAGTCTGGAGGAGAAAATATGTTTGTTTTTAAGGGGAAATAGTCTGGAAGAGAAAATATGTTTATTTATAAAGGGAAATATTCTGGAGGATAAAATATGTTTATTTTTAAGGGGAAATAGTCTGGAAGAGGAAATTTGTTTGTTTTTAAGGGGAAATATTCTGGAAGAGAAAATATGTTTATTTTTAAAGGGAGATAATCTGGAAAAGAAAATATGTTTATTTTTCAGGGGAAATAGTCTGGAAGAGGAAATACATTTATTTTTAAGGGGAAATATTCTGGAAGAGGAAATATGTTTATTTATAAAGGGAAATATTCTGGAGGAGAAAATATGTTTATTTTTAAGGGGATATAGTCTGGAAGAGGAAATATGTTT